TTTGTTTTATAAAAGCAACAAAATCTGTATTTCACTTTCTATTTTTACATTTCATCATATACCTCTATGGTGTATAAATCCTTTACTACGTAATAAATAAACACATTATAAGTAATTACATATATATTTTTGAAGTCCCCTTTTCTGAATTGTCTACACAATGTACCTAACATACAAAAACTGAGTTTTGTCTTATATATCTCTCTTATATTTCCTCTCATACTTTCATAGATTTTTGTATGCCGTCCTTTAAGAGGTTCCAAAGTTATGTATTTGCATTGACTTGAGAGATGCTTATTTTCAATAGCTGAAAGAGGTTACATTTCTACCCTTTGCTCTTCATACAAGTCTAGAATTTAGTTGCACCCTTTCTGCACATCTCCCTAGCAGGAGATATTGACAACTTTTTCTGGGCTATCACTTCAAGAACGCTTGGGTAGCCTTGGAAAACAGAGCAAAGATTTGTTTCTTCACCAGCTTGATAAAAATCATGGCTGCGATCCACCCGCTCGTCCACCGCCCACTCTGAGGGAGGAGACAGGACTTTTGCTCCCTTCAGCAGTGACAGTGGAGAAAATTACGGGAGCAGTCCCACCTCTCCAATGGGGTCGCTGTGAATTGGCATCAACCCAAGAGCAGGGAGCTTGTTTCTTTATTGTTGTTTTATTTTATGGCAAAAAAGGGGTCAAGTTTGCTACAGCCCTTTAAAGTAATTGGGAGTTCACAAGCTCAGGGTTTCTCTGTTGTAACGCAAATCCTGTTAGCACTGCATCTAACTAGGCGGAGTCCTCACTGTTTACGTAGTGTTAAGAAGCAAGAAGAATTGATGTAAATATGAAGGTCGTGCTGCTGGCTGTGCTTTGGTTAATGATGTTGCTTTTTCTTTACCCCGACCCTGGAATCGTGTGCCTTTCCCCAGCACCTAGATTATTTTGGCAGGCTAGCTTACTAGCTTGCAAGTACAGTAAAAAGCTTACTTTTTCAAAGTTACTGGCAACTGTAACGATGAAACTTTTGTTTGCTTATTTAAAAATATCTTACCTCTTAGATCCAACCTTAGTTTACCAAGTTGTCATTTCCCTTTACAGTATGTCTGGATAAACTAGGCTGACAGACTGCCAAACTGACTGTAGACTTTTTAAGCCAATAACTCTTTCCTTTGTATCCTGACTAGCCTCCAGCTGCACCTTCTTTTACTGTCCCTATTAATAAGCAAGTGACACATAAAATGTCTTTATTTCTGTACCACCTCTTTTGCTCTCATCAACACAATTTTTATTTAAACACTCAAAGGTAAAAAAACATATATAGGGAGCACCTATATGTACTCAACATCTGCCTTAAGTTATAATATCAAAAACACAATTAAATTCTGTCCCAAATAACTTCTGTCTTAATTTGGGGTGTTTATCACTCTAGTGCATGCACTCATGGTATTTACCTGCACTACATATTGTGCATCTAAAATTATACATACCTTTGGTTTCCAAGCTTTCTATAAATAATATTATACAATCTTTTTGAAAATGACTTTTTTTGTGAAACATTTTAATTATACAATCCATCCAGATATATATAGTTAACTCTATTTTATTAATTTTAACTATAACATAATAGTAATTTAATGACTGTCACCACTTACAGGGTTGCTATGAGTCAAAAGTGATTCAATGGCAGTGAGTGTTTTGGATTGATAGAAATGCAGCTGGTTTTCAAGCCTTTGCTATTATTAATTGCATTACTATAAATATCCATTTACTATCCTTACACATATATACTAAAATTTCTCTAAAATTGTGGTATGCATAATAGGGTATCTGATCTCCCTAACTTTGTGGGCAGAGGTAGTTTTACATATATATGTGTGTATGTATGTGTATATATATATATATATACATATATATAATATATATATATAAAATAGGGTATCTGATCTCCCTAACTTTGTGTGCAGAGGTAGTTTTACATATATATGTATGTATGTGTATATATATATATATAGATATATATAGATATATAGATTCAATATTCAGATTCTGAATTTCAGCCAACCAGCTGGGTAGGAAATTGTAGCAGTTTTCTTTTCCAACAATACCTTTACTATCCTTTTTTCTAATATACAAAAAAAAGGGAGGGGGGTGTTCTTATTCACTCAAGATGCATAGATCTGAGAACCAAAGACCTTTGAATCTCAAGTAAACAAATAATCTGAAATAACAGGCACCAATGAATATGCCTTTAACACAGATACAATAACATCCCTTATCCACTCACTAAGATATGCATTTTCAATAAATTTCATTATTTTCATAAGTTTTCATATTTAAATGTTTATGACCAACTGTGTATTTATATAGAAGGAACTTAATATTATAACTAATCAATGAATGGAATGAAAGTATTTTAAAGTTTTGAAACATATTATGTCTTATTTTATTTTGAATGATTTATATTGTTGCTGATGCTGAGGAGAATACAAAAAGCAAATCACAAAACAATTCAACAAATTCTATAATCAGTCTTCTTAAGCAAACCGTTTTTGCCACAAGAAACATGACAATAAATATATTTTTTCCACAAAGGTATATGATAAAATGGACAGAGAAAAATGCTTCAATCATTAACATAAATTACTTTAGGTAAAGTTCTGTCATAAGAGAGTAACCAGAAACCTGATTTCAAGGAGAAAATGATACAATGTCCTAGTCCCTTTCTATAACCGCTGTTTCAATCCACTTTGTTGACAGCCTTCCTCTTTTTTACTGCCCTTTCCACTTTCTTAATCATGATGTCCTTCTCCAGGGACTGATCCAAAGTACATGATGTTGTTTAGGTAGCTTAAAAATCTTAATTATGTAAATTAGATACCAATAAAACTGTTGGGGGAAAATAAAAATGATGTTGGAGGAAAACAAAAAAAGATAATACTGTCTGCTAAACATCTTGCAAAATTTAAACAATTATTTATTAGTTGATTAAAAACATTAAGGAAAAATAACAAAAGATACTAGTTAAAAATATTACTTTCAGAAAAGGACTTAACCGTCTTAGTTTGCAGATTCTGTTATAACATAAATACCACCTATTTTGGAAGGTGACAATTCAACTACATCACTCCCTATCATTTTTTTTTAGAGTGTATGGTTCTGACATCGTATTCAAAATAGTTTAAAAATACATTTTATCATCACTATCATATTTATATAAAGCAGTGGTTCTCAGCCTTCCAAATGTCACAACCCGTTAATACAGTCCACATGTGTGGTGACATCCCAACCATAAAATTATTTTCATTGATACTTCGTAACTGTAATTTTGCTACTGTTATAAATCGGGCAACCCCTGTGAAAGGGTCTTGTGACCCCCAAAGTGGTCGCGACCCACTAGTTGAGAACTGCTGATCTAAAAGAATTAAAGATGAGCTCCAGTTTTCTGAAGATGAAATATAACATGAGTCCCCAAAACAAAAACCTACTTATTTACCTTCCAGATGAGCTCTGGAAGAGCAGTTGTTAAAGTGCTCAGCTGCTATAACCAAAAGACTGGTGGTTGGAACCCATCTACAATTCCACCACAGAAAGATGTAGAGAGGACAGCTTTGAAAACCCTATGAAACAGCTGTCCTCTGTCCTCTAGGGTTGTTAAGATTCAGAATTAATTTAATAACTGAGTCTGGTTTTTGTCTTTCCCTCTCACTCTACCTTTGTTTTATTACTATGAAGAATACACAGTGAATCTGTGGCAATACAGATTTTATTTTAAATTTAGCTATCAAACTATTTTTAAGTAAGTAGGTATTACGTGATTGGCAAGCAGTACAAGCTGACAGTCAGTAATTACTTTTGTTCATGTGGAAATTTCTTCTACTTTATAGGTTCCTTTTTTGGGATTATAAAATGTAATATTACCGTATTTTAGATTACTCTGCTGTTACATAGGGTATAATATTTCCCCAAAGCTTTTCTGGGACTAAGTCAATGATTAGCAACACACAATAGTGGTCCAACTCTCTAAACAACAATCATTAGACAAAATGGACACCTTGTCCCAAATGCACAAATACGCATGGGAAAAAACTAATGTTTTAGACTTAGACTTGTGTACTTCATTTCCCCTGGCTAGTGTGTTAAGAAATGGCATGCATTTTAAGAGTAAGTAACAATGCTTGTATTCTGGCACAGACATGCTACTTCTATTACATAATGAAGTGAACAACAGAACTACAAAGGCAGGAGTGGACAGGGAGCTGTCTGTTTAAACAGAGTAAAAGAAGAGTGAACAAGGGAACTCTCTTCGTCACAGAAGTACATGACCTCAGAATATATTACATAGGAATCATTTCAATATGTTACCCCCAAGCCAGAAATGCCAAATGCTTTTCCATTCAACTTAATACGTACTTCTGAATTCCCATAAACAAGGACTACATTAAGAGCATGATTACTGAAAGGAATCCAGAAAGAATAAGGGAATGAATGTAGAAATTAAGAAATTATGCAGAACACTCTAATTGTAGTAACTACATTTTCATATCTTCATAGTAATACAAAACACAGTCACTTGCAGAGCTGGTTCAGATCATTTAAATACCAGACACATTTCAGTCCTCTACATAAACCGTTTGGAAGTTATATAAGTTCCTTTAGAAGGCTAAATCTCAAGCCCATCATAACTTAAATACGTGATTGGCTTGCAAACAATTTGTCTGTCTCCAACCCTTCTGTCACTCCTTTCTAGCAGCTCTTTCGGCCAGAAGATGTATAGTCTGGATGAGATGTTACAAAACCAAATCAGTCTGGAGACAAAAGCAGTTTAGAAATTCACTTCATATTTTCTCGGTGTCCACCAGCTCTCCCTACCATAATTTTATCAGTTAGGAAGAAGCTTAAATTGTATTTACATATGTTTTGTTATTACAATAAATTTTCACATAGATACACAAGGCAAGAACACTAGAATGATTTTGGGAGTGTTGTACTAGGTTTCAAAGATTTACTTACGCAACTCTTAATGTCTCTAGTCTCCAAAGGGAGCGTGCATAGACAGATACAGCACCTCCTTCATAATGAACATTTCTGTGAAACAAAAAAAAGCAAATCTTAAGTTGAATTCTTATTTTTCAAGATGACTGAATGAGAAAATGTGTGAATTGTATGGACAGACAGATTACGTCATACTGAGAGGCAATAGGCAAAAGATCTAACAAGAAAAGCAACCCAATAATAGTAACAATGATCAACATGCTTGTCCTTAAGAAAACATTTGATGTAAACATATTCCATTATTCTTATTCTCTCACCTATTCTAATTTCTCTCTCTGAAACTAGAATAGAGTTGTTTGACTCAAAGCTATGACTTTAAGTACATTTTAATATATTTTATATCAATAAAATACATATAAATATTTGCAGTTCTAACTTCTTTGAGATTTAAAACATTTTAAAGAAATGTGAGGATAATTTTTTTTATTTTTAAATATAACAAGCTTCAAAATATTAAAATCAACTTAAAATTCATTGTCATCAACACATTCCGGTTCATAGCAACCCTATAGGACAGAGTGGAACTGTCCCCTGTGAGTTCCTGAGACTGTAACTCTTTAGGCGAGTAGAAAACCCACTGACTCATTGGTGATCTTGAATTGCTGACCTTGTTGTTAGTAATACAATGTGTAAACCACTACAAGAAAAATATACACGTAAATTGTAAAATCACAAAAGCCTTTTCAGATACAGATCACACACATACATGCAAACACACACAACATCCAAAAGTATAATAATAATTTGCTAATATGCCAGACATATGCTAAATCGTGTACGTACACCATCCAAATTCATCTTTGTATACTCAACCAAAACCCAACTTTCAACCCTATAGATGGACAGAACTGCCCCTGGAAGTTTCCAAGACTGTAACTCTATATGGGAGTAGAAAGCCCCGTCTTTCTCTCAAGGAATGGCTGGTGGTTTCAAACTGCTGACCTGGTGGTGAGCAGCCCAACACATAAACACTAAACCCCAGGGCATAGAGACTCCCTAAAAAAGCTATTCAAAAAGAACTCTACCCATCCGAGGGCTATGTTGTAGCTCATTCATCTTACTCATGTAACTTTCTTTTCAGAGAAGTATCTCCCTCTTTAGTGGGTCTTCTCTTCATTCAAGTACATGCAAGTTCGCTTGTCTTAAACTTGACACATTTCCCTCTCCTGCTCTATTCACTTTCCAGACTCTATTGAAGACCTTCCTGTGGGTTTTCAATGAATTCAGTTTTGTTTCAAACCACTTCTCAATGATGACTTTTAAATTGCCAAATCCAATTAATTTTTTTAACCACCAAAGACATTATGGGAAATATTACATAGTTTTCCTAAAAAATCAAAATTGATTAGACAACAGCTAACAAGCACTGATTTTAGACATTCGTGAGACAGTTGAAAACACTTGAATAGTGATTGGACATATGATAATAAAAATTAATTAATATTTTTTCATTTTACTAGGGGCTCATACAACTCTTATCATAATCCATACATACATCAATTGTGTAAAGCGCACTTGTACATTCACTGCCCTCATCATTCTCAAAACACTTCCTCTCCACTTAAGCCCCTGGCATTAGGTCCTCATTTTCCTGCTCCCTCCCCACTGCCCCCTCCCTCATGAGCCCTTGATAATTTATAAATTATTATTTTTCATATCTTGCCCTGTCCGACGTCTCCCTTCACCCACTTTTCTGTTGTCCATTCCCTCTTTCCAACCCACTCTCCCTCAACACTCCCAGTATTGCCACTCACACCACTGGTCCTGAAGGGATCATCCGCCCTGGATTCCCTGTGTTTCCAGTTCCTATCTGTACCAGTATACATCCTCTGGTCTAGCCAGACCTGCGAGGTAGAATTCGTATCATGATAGTGGGGGCGGGGAGGAAGCATTTAGGAACTAGAGGAAAGTTGTATTTTAAGTTTCCTAAACTCTTTCACAAATGTCTTTTTTGGTTGCTTTTTCAAAACAAGATCCCCAAAAGATTCATTTATTTCTTAGGTATCTTTTCTCATTGTTTCCCCTTCTTCTTCTTATTTTGTTGGGGGAAACATTTGTTTTGTTGCACAATTTGCATTTTTAATTTTATAATTGGTTACCCATGGTATTTTTTAGCATGCACACTAACATGGTAGTTGCTTAAAATCTAGTAGCATATTCCAGTTCATGTTTCATATTTTTGGCAAAAAATTTTTAGAAAGTGATTTTTATAGTTTTAAATAATATAACACAATTGAACATCACTACTTTGGCCATTAAATTATAATAGCTGGATTAAGTTATTAGAATTCACTGATCAATTTTAGTATCATAAAAATATACAACAAGCTATTCTCTGCCTCATGATGGGATATAAAATCCAATGTCATATATGATCAATATGAGTCAGAATCTCTTCAATAGTATGAGGATGCACATAGGCAAGGATACAGACAAGGAACTACAAGAAATTCAAGTTCAGTTCAGAAGAAGATATGGAATTTAATTTACATGCTAAAAAAATAATTGGAAAAGATGGATTATTTGAAGAGATTGTGGCACTGAGATTAAAGAAAGTTATTAAAAACCCGTGATATACAAATGATAGCCCATTGCTGGCTGAAAACAAAGATAATACAATGAATATTCTAATGAAGATCTAAGTAGTGGATTATACCTCAACATAAAAAATGAACAAAAACCTTTACCATTAGACCAGTACACATTGTGATAAATGGAGAAAATATTGAAATTGTCAAGGATTTCATTTACCTGGATTCGCAATCAAGGACCATGGAAGAAGTAGTCAAGTATTACACTGGACAAATCTGCTACAAAAGACCTTTTTGAAGTGTTAAAGCACACAATGGCACTTTGAAATTAAGGCACTTTATCCCAAAGCATTAGAAAGCTGCATAATGAATAAGGAACACTGGAGATGAATTGATGTACTGGAATTACAGTATTGGAAAAGAAGATTGAATATAACATGGCCTTCCAGAAGAAGTTCTTCAAAATAAGAGTGGTGGGTAGACTTTTCATTGTCAAAAACTTTGAACATATTATCAGGAGGAACTAGTTCCTGATAACACTGTGCTGAACAAAAGAAAGGTGAAAAAAAGGAAAACCTTCAATGAGATGCACTGACAGTGGCAACAATGGATTCACAGAGCAATGACTGTAAGGATGGCACTGGACCAGGCCATATTTCATTCTGTTGTAGATAGTTTCACTATCAGCAGAAACGGACACAACAAATCTTCATCAGAACTCAGCCAACCTCAGTTCCACACTCTCCTACAGCACAATGCCCTTATGCAAAAGTAGGTTCTTAGAATTCATTGTCAGGTATTACCTACATTACCCCTTTTGCTCACAATAATTTTAGGTATCAAATAAAATATATTTGCTGCCTCAAAATTCACATGCAATTTTACTAAGGACTTTTAGGGGACATGCCCTCATATCCTCTGATAGTAAAATGACAATATAAAAAATTAAAGCTCTGCTCATAATGCAGACGTTACAAAGATTAAAATATATTTCATTTCCTGAGTACTTTGTCCCTTTTGCAAAATTGGTTTCTGAAGTCTTGACTCACAGCACACAATCTGCCACATGTTCCAGCACTGTGGCTTACAGCCCATCCCAGGATTCACTGAACACATGGACGGGTGGTCGAAAACAGAGTGACAAATTTTTCTGTACAGAGATTTTCCTGTAAACAGTTTGGGGTTTGGGGGTAATAAAGTTATGAGTCACAACTACTCAAGTCTGCTGTTCTAATACAAAAGCACCAATAGACAACATGTTCCAATAAAATTTTATTCACAAAAGCATACTGAATTTGAGTCATGGGATTAAGTTCCCAGACCCTTGGTTTATAAATTCATTCCCACAATATTGGTTAATCTCAGAGAGAGCCAGGTTGATGAAAGTGAGGATCCAGGGTCTTTCATAACTAACTGAGAGAAAAGATAACTTCCAAATATGGAACTAATTTACCGTGAATCACATTACTAACATTCTGTTGTGACTATTTCCTTTTTCTCATCAAGAGAAATACAGATAAAGCTACAGTACAGATATGTTAGTTCATCCCCCAAATCTCCAGTTTGATAAAGGAATATGAAAAATAAATTATTACAACTGAATTACAGAAAAGAACAAATGGGCGTGTCCAATCTAATTTTGTTTCATCCTAACAAAGAAGCCTTACAAAAGTAGGTACTTGTAACTTCCAACTTAATATGCATTTGAGTTACAACAACCTTTGATAATAACCATCATGTGTATCTTGGCAAGTTATGAGAATGTGTATGCAAGGTCAATGGGGGCCAGGGGTGGTGCAGAGAAGTTGAGTTATGTGAACACATACCAAGCATTTGATCAAGATAATATGATGAAAAAGATAGGTGAGATAATCATTCATGTGGCAAGAGTGCTGGGTTTAGAATTTGATATGTTGAACTGAGCATATTCCAGGGGGAACTGATGGGTCAGGATATAAACTTTCAAGAGAAAATAAATGCTAAAGAAGAAAGAGACATTAAGAAAGAGTACGGACAATAAGAGAGAGCAATGTTGTCAAAAATATGTACACACAAACATATAAAACTAATTAATTAAATACATATATACAGTGAAAAGATTAGCTGGGTTTTCCCCCTCAATTAAATCTAGGGCTTCAGTTGCTTGAAAAAAATGGACCTAAATACTGATAACTTTGTTGAAGTTGGTAGACAGATTTGAGAAGCAGTGAGATGTCACCACAAACTATTTGAAGAAGAAACAAAAAAGGCACATACAGAAAACTCACTAATCTTTTGATTGGAAACATCATCCACATTCTCAGAAATAATCCAGAATAATCTAGAGCTTTCCACAAGTGGACTTAGTACCACTGTAATGAAATACTAATGTTGTCGAACTCATCTTTATCATTTGTATAAATATGTGTATTAAAACATATCTGTATGTTTTTATGTAATGTCCTTAACTTTCAAATACAAAGATGGAATTTATAAATATATTAATGAAAGTAAATAATGAAA